CACTGTTGGGTAGGCGTTGGACTGGTAATTGGAAGTGTGGCAGTTCAAATCCACCAGTTGTTCTGAAGGAAAAACAGGCTGTTCCTGTAAAGATTTGGAGCTTCAGAAACTGTATTTGGGTTGCTAGGAGGCAGAAATGACTCAATACAAGTGGGTTTGCTTTTTAAAAAAAAATAAAAATGAGCTATGAATAATTCAAGCAGGTTGTCTACCAATTATTTAAGTAATCTCAAATATTCATATGGGGAAATTCTTATTTTAGAAAAAAGTTTTTAAAAGCACTATTCAAAATAGATAAGGGTTCTACAATTTAGTCTTTATTCAATGAGACTGATGAATTACCCAAGCCACACAAATCCTCAGAATAGGAACAAACTCAGGTTACGGTATTTTTCAAAGTTTTAAGGCATGGGTAGCATCTTTCTAACATTCAATTAAAACACTGTCATATAAATGCCAGAACATCTAAGGAATTATTCTGGTTCAGAAAATTATCTTAAGAACATATAAAAATTTGTGATACACACACATTAAAAAATGTAGTAAACACAAAAATGAATAGAAGTGCTCTGTGAGACCTCTACATGAAAGTTACAATATTCTTGTAGATACATTGAGAGGTCAATGAGACTGCCTTGTTTTTCTGTGTCTCATAGTATTCTGCCTTTGCTCAATCTTACCACTTTTTCTATGGCTTTTCTATTAGTGGAAAATACTTTGAGTTTTTTGTCTCTGACAGTTTAAACAGGTTCTAGCTCTTGCAGGTTTTCTTGCAATGAAAAATATTTACTGCTTAGGTGAGTAAATTATTACAATGAAAGTGAAGCTCAAAGATAGTAAAAAAATCTAGCAAAGAGCAAGAGATAAAAAAAAAAAAAAGAGCAAGAGATCACGGAGAAAAATCCTTCTTTAACAACATTATAGGCAGACCTAGAAAGCATAATTATAATACAAATAAACATGCTACTTAATAATAAATACTACAAGGTTGGGAATTAATTAGTTATGAAAAACTATGAGAAGAAAAAGTTTAAGTATACCTATAATGTGAAGTAATGGAAACAGTATTTACATGGCATTTTTGACAAGAGAGAACAAGAATTTGAACAAAAAAAGAGACAATCAACATTAAAGGGTCCCTAACTTTTCTACTAAAATAGAATTTCTTGTGTTATGCTATTTTTTAGAATTATATGACTTATTAAATATCTGTTGTTCATATCTAAATACTTAAACACTCTCATTCATCTATATTAAAAAAAAACAAATAAAAAACCCGCTCATAGGGATGATTCCTTAGAATGATCCTACAGAAATAATGTGTCCTACACATGACACTATTTCCCTAATACAATGTTAATGTAGTTTACATTAACTATTTCTTTGATATCTGATTCTGTTAGGAAAGGCTGACTTCCTTTAGCTACAGCAGAGGAATTATTCCAAAATGTAAAGCTTGAACAAACTCATTCATCATCCTGAATGACATAGCAGCTTCCTTTATAATACTGCTCTGCCAGGGAATGCAGCAACCTCAGAAGAAACAAGTTCTTTCATAAAAAAATGCCAGATAGCTAGGTGTTAAAACAGAATTGTTTAGGTCAGACACGGTGTCATACTATTCTCATACATCTGGCCTCTATTGGCACAAATGCATTTTAAAAATTCATATAAATCCATTAATGTCAAATCACAAAAAAGTATCATAAAGAATTCCATAAATACATTTCCCTTACAACCATTTATCATCAATTCATTTGTTCACAAACCTACCTACACATCTCTCACCATTCTCCATTTAAAACATAAATGAGATTTCTTCATGACCCTTCAGTGACTTCTCAACACAATGTATATAAAGCCTTACTTTCCTGAACCCCATGTTCTGTCATTCTTTTACTCTTCACTCTAAGTACATTAGCTTTCCTCTTCTAGGTCATCAAATATACCAAATTTGTCCCTGTTTTGAGACTTTCTCACTTACTTTGAGAGCCTCACTACCTGGTTCCTACTTGTGATTCAGGTCTCAACTCAAACATCATCTTATTAAAGATGACTTTCTTTACTCCTTACTCTAGCATAATCTTTCAGCCATTCTCTATTACCGCATACATCACTATCTTTACATTACCGATCAGTGGCTAAAATAAACATGTTTTCTGTTTACTTTGTGTCTCATCTCTGTCACAACATAAGGTCTAAAGGAACAGAGAATGTAGCTGTGTGTTTACCTGTCAGCAAGGCCTAAAACAATACATAGATAATAAATATGGCTTAAAAAGTAAATTCAAGATTTTCTCAAACCACAAACCTCTCTGGCCTATCCCTAAGAAGTACATGCACGTAAGTTAGTGATAGGATGTTTATGATGTTCCATGAATGAGTTGAAATTATGTACTTTCCATAGGTATGAAGAACTTAACTAATTTTGAGTCATATAACTTAGTTGTCGGCCTGAGTTCAGCTTGGCATTTCATGGTTTAGCAACTGTGAAAATTGAGACCAGAAAGAAAGTGTAAAACTTAAGTTTTTAATAATGGATAAACTGAACAACAACAAAAAAAACCCTAAGTCAATGGAAATTCACAAAAACATCTTAGATCTCAAAGCACACATTAAAATTACCAAAAGAGCTTTTCTGAGATTTGCTTTTACTTGTCTTCTTTTAAGATGCATGTAGCACCTAGCACACAGAAAGCACTAAAAAAAAAATGTTTGTTGAATGGGTCACAAGGTCTTAATTACATAATTATAGTGTTAATTATAGCTGTATAAAGACGCTATAATCTTTTACTGAAGTTCATAGGAAAGGGGGATTAAAAGATAATGGAATTTTCTCACACTTTTTTTTCTCACAATCTTTTTGAAGCTTCTTCATGTATTATGTTTACCTTAGCTAAAAGGACTGATCATACAGGTTTTTCTCATTTTACAGAGATGTTACATATGGAAAGAAAATATCAAGTATCAATACCAAGATATAGAAAAAAATAAGCAGCAATAATAAACTGCCTTGTTTTTATAACTGTTTTACTTTATAACTAATACTGTATTTCTGTTAAAATGCCTCTCATTACGTATCTATAACTAGTGAAGGAACCAATGATTAAAAAAAGGATTATTAGCTTAAATTATGCAGGTTTAAATTCTATGCTGCATAATCCCCAGTATCTATCCGTATATGCTGTGCTCTAATGCTCTATGACTTTTTAAATGATTAAAAATAAAAAGGTTTTAGTCCCTTCTCATAAATCCAAGGTGTGACCACCATCTTTAGCGGCGTCCTGCTGGAGTAGTGGTAAAAGCAGTCAGCTACTAAATGAAAGGTCAGTGGTTGAAACCCTGCAGCCATTTTGTGGGAGAAAGATGTGGTAGTTTGCTTCCGTGAGGAATGACATCCTTGGAAACTACAGGGCATCTCTTTGTTCTACAGGGAGACTAGGGGTTAGAATGGACTTGACAGCAGTGGGATAGATCAACATCTTGACACATGCCAGCAAGGATAATCAGCTTAAGCAGTTATCAAATGCAACAGGTCAAATAAAGAGTATGGGTAACAACCAAGTCCTAGTGCATGGTGTATTTGCCACTAGAATTCAACATCCAAATGATAGAGAACGGATCAAGTCAAGGTGACATGGGGTACTTATAAGTAAGGTGCTAAGAAAAACAACTATGATAACATTATAAAGAACCCTCTAACGCTTGTTTCAAAATCACAGAACAAACAGTGATAGTTAAGAGGTCCTCTCCCCATTGCTATCAAGTCAAATCTGATTTATAACAACCTTTTAGGACAGAGTATAGCTTCCCTATAGGATTTTCAAGGCTATAAATCTTTCAAGAAGCAGACTGCAACATCTCTCCCCGCAGGAGCTGCTGGTGGATTTGAACTACCAACCTTAGCCAAGCAGCTGAGTGTTTAACCACTGTCCCACCAAAACTCATCTAAAACTACAAAGTTCACAACCAAGTCTTGTAATGAAGTGATATGATTAATGAATATTTTAGACAGTCATACGAAAAAGTGGGATGATTAACTCCATTTTGAAGGAGTCCTGGTGGCATAGTGGCCTGCTAAGCACAAGATCAGTAGTTTGAATACATCAGCTGTTCCATGATGAGAGAATGATGAGACTGTCTGATCCTGGAAAGAGTTACAGTCTCAGAAACCCCTTCTACTCAAAAGGGCTGCTAGGAACTGGAATTGACTGGTGGCAGCAAGTACTGAGTTGAGTCAACTCCATTTTGAAGTCCCTGGCTGGTACAATATTTAACACACTTGGCTGCTACAGAGAGGTTGGAGATTTGAGTACATCAGAGGTTCATAAAGAAAGGTCTAGTGACTTACGTCTCAAAAAAAAAATCAGTAATTGAAAACCCCACAATATACAATTCTTTGCTGACACCCACATGGAGTTGCCATGAGTCAGAACAGATGGAAAAGCAACTTTTTTTCTAACTCTGTATTTCTGATGGCACACACAAGTCTCCTGTTAACAATCCCATTGTCACCAAGTTGATTCCAACTCACAGCCACAGGGTAAGACACAGTTACAACTGCCCCCGTAGGGTTCCTAAGGCTGTAATCTTTATCGAAGCAGATTGCCACATTTTTCTCCTGTAGAGTAAGAGGCAGGTTCAAACTACAAACCGAGTGCTTAGCCCCTATGCCACCAGGGCTCCTTGGTCTACTGTTGGTAAAACAATGTATATCAATGACAGCATTTAGGCAATGTAACTTAATAGAAATACCGCAGAATGTCAGAAATACTAACATTTATTTACTAAATATGCCAACTTGGTAAAGTGGAAAGAAAAATTCACCTGTATTCTTAAGTTTCCTCATTTTCAAAAATGAAGGTAATACTCTTAGCACTCATAATTATACCTCATAAAGTTGCAATAAGAGAATGAGTTAATGCATATGAAAATATACTGCAAAGTATAAAACCCTATACAAATACAAGTTTGTGCTATGTGGAAAAAATTAAATTTACCTTTATGTGCTCTAAAACAGCAGTGGCAACATTTGTATGGAGATCAATAAGTCTTTTTTTTTCAAGAAGTTCTGGCAAAGAACTATAAGCATCAAAAAAAATTAAAAATTAACCATTTAATTCTCTAAGAAAGTGACATAAACTTTTACAAATTCCACCATGAGTGTTTTCCTCTGAGGAAACACAGACCAGTAAAATAGAACAATGAATTCAACTTCCTACCAATTACCTTCTATCTCTATGCTTATAGACAGATAGTATTTATTATTGTGATAAACGCTCATTTTAAAATGTCACAAATATCCTTTCTACTATTTCACATTCTGATTCCAAAGTTAGGCAACATCAAACAAAATCAGAATAATGGAAATATACTTTGACATATATTTCGAAGATTTTTTTTTGCCCTCTCTCCTCCTTGACAGCATTCAAAATATTTACAAACTACTTAACTTTTAATTAAGATAATAATGGTAGCAATGGCAAAATTAATAATAATTTGTTACCAAAACTGCATTTTATTATTTGTAAAAATTTTTATTGATCAATAATTTTATTGGGAGCTCTTACAGGTATCATAACATTTCATAGTTCAATCACATCAACAGTATTGAATAGCTACCAAAATCAGTTTCAAAGCATTTTCTTTCTTCTTGAACTCCTTGGTATCAACTCCCTTTTAACCCCTCCCTCCCCCATCCTACTGCCCTAAGGAATCCTTATTATTTTTTCCCTAATATATATATGTATATATACACACACATACATATACATATACATACATATACATATACATATATATATATATGCCAAATCGCACACAATCCAATATATTCATTCACATACAATTCTGTTGTTCAATCCTATCCCGTGGGGTTATAGTCATCAGTGCTATCAGCTCCCTCTTCCCCACCTCATTCCCTGTTCCCTCAGGAAACCATTACTCCTGGTAATGTTGCTGAAGGGTTATCTATCTTGGCTTTCATGTACTGAGTGATCTTAAATATAAAATAAACATATGAAAATCTAACATATTCAACGAGGTAAAGCAAATAAAAACCTTAAATGTAAGGGGAAGAAATATAAAAGAACTAGAGGATAGTTATATGGTTCATCAGTACTATACCAGCCCCTAGATTTATCATCCTTTCCGTGTGGCCCTTCTGTGAGGGACTGTCCAATTATCTTACAGGTGAGTTCTGGGTCTCCACTACATCCATGCCCCTTCACATTGATTTAGTTATTTTTGAACTTCTGATACCTGTTCCCATCGACACCTCATGAGTACACAGGCTGCTGTGCTTTTTCCATGTGGGCTTTGTTGCTTCCCTGCTAGATGGCTGCTTGTTTAACTACAAGCCTTTAAGACCCCAGACACTGTTATCTTTTAACAGCCAGGCACCATTAGCTTTCTTCCCCACATTTGGTTATGCACCCATTTTGTCTTCAGCAATCATGCCAGGGATGTGAGTATCATAAATTGCCACATTATTAGAACAAGCCATTCTTATACTGAGGTAAGATTTAAGTAGGGGCCCAAAGTCAATCTGTATACCTATATTTTAAAACCAACACTGTCTTCTTGGTAAATTTTTTTCCCTTATACATTTCCAACTAATGAACGAAGAAAATAATCTGCTAAAACAAAGAGGGAAATAATACCAGTCTCAACATGTTAAAAACACAGTGTAGTGCTTTAAACTCAAAGGTATATTTGCGATTACCTAATACCTTCATTTAAACTATTAACCTTGGTTTTTTTAAACCTTAAATCTTATTAGGAAGACTTCAAAGAGGAAACATTGCTTACTTACCTAACAGCAGAGGTTAGCTTAGCAGTATTGTCAGAAAGCATACTTATAGCTCCTTCATCTTCCCCTTCCAGTCCCTTGGAAGGAAAAAAGGTATCAGTAACTTTTCAAAATCCTAGGTCCATGCATAAAAAACAATACATTCCTAAGATTGCTAGTAAAAAAATAAGATTTATATAACTTAGAACAATACTTCCCTACAAGGAGAAAATATATGTATGCAGTTTTGGCATTTAAAGAAAAACTTCTAGTTGCTATCAGTCTAAGCAGTTGGATGACTTCAAAAAGCACATAAGGTAAGAGGCCTCAAGACTTGTCTATGTAATAAACAGGAGAATGCCAATCTGAAGTTAGGTTAAAGTACAATAAGCACTACTGGAATATCTGGTTCTAAAATTTAAGTCACACTTCATATACTATATATTTTTTCAAATCATATATTCATATTCTTCTATACATTTGTGCTTTTCACAATATTTAAATTTTTTGAAAAACAAACCAAACAACCAAAGAAACACTGATGCTTAGTTTATGTCAGCGTTGTTTCTGTTTTCTGTCTGGGAGATTATGGAAGATCAATTTAACGACCACTCACTCTGTGCTTGTTGCTATCCACTCAGAGGTCTAAGCAGTGGAAGCTTTTAGTTTTAGTTTAACCACAGTTTCCTGGGCACACAATTTACACATCATACAAATGAACAACTGTTCCATCATATCAAGAGGATATGTGATGTTCTTATTGTCAGATCATTTTGTTCTTCCAGCTATCACTATAATACATCTTATAGCTGCCGAGAAATGTTCTGTAGATTTCTCACATTACTGAAGATCACAATTACTAGTACTTCAACTTTTAATTTTTTTATTTATCATTTTATTGGGAGCTCTTACAGATATCATAACAGTACATAGTTCAATCATATCAAGCAATATTGTCTGATTGCTACCACAATCTATTTCAAAGCATTTTCTTTCTTCTTAAATTCCTTGATATCAGCTCCTCTTTATCCACTCCCCTCCCACCCAAGGAACTGTTATAATTTTAAAAAAAATCATTTTATTGGGGCTCGTACAACACGTATCACAATCCATACATCCATCCACTGTGTCAAGCACATTTGTACATTTGTTGCCATCATCATTCTCAAAACATTTGCTTTCTGCTTGAGCCCTTGGTATCAGCTCACTTTCCCCTCCCACCCCCCTCGCTCATGAACCCTTGATAATTTATAAATTGTTATTATTTTGTCATATCTTACCCATTCCCTTCACCCACTTTTCTGTTGTCCATCCCCCAGGGAGGAGGTTATATGTAGATCCTTGCAATTGGTTCCCCATAATTTTTTCCTATAATAGTTTTGTTGTTTTTTTGCCATATCTTACAGTCCAATATATCCACTCACATATGTCATCAATATTATATGCTCTCTCTTCCACCTCCCTCTCTTCTCTTCCCATACCCCTAGGGAAGCATTACTCCTATTAATGTTTCTGAAGGGTTATCTATCTTGGCTTTCATGTATCGAATGATCTTAAATATACAAATGAACAAACACAAATCTAACATGATTAATGAGGCAAAACAAAAACCATAATAGTAAGGGGAGGAAATATAAAAGAATGAGAGGATAGTTATATGGTTCAACAGTACTATACCACCTCCTATGTTTATCATCCTTTCCATGTGGCCCTTCTGTGACGGTCTGTCCAATTATCTTACAGGTGGGTTTTGGGTCTCCACTCATTCACGCCCCTTTGCATTGATTTGGTTGCTTGTTTTTGAATTTCTGATACCTGTTCCCATCCTCATGGGACACCTCATGATCATACAGGCTGCTGTGGGCTTTGTTGCTTCCCTGCTAGATGACTCCTGGTTTAACTACAAGCCTTTAAGACCCCAGATGCTATAACTTTTATATAAATTGAAAAAAAAATTTTTTTTTCACTTAAAGCAAGAAAGAACATTGAACTCTTCCCCCTTAGATGTGCTTCTACTTCCTTGTAATTCTTAGAAAGCAAAAAATCTTACCATAATGCTTTTAAGTCTTTTGACCTCATCTTCTTGTGCTCTGTAAGATTCCAGTTCTTGCTGAACTGATTCTGCAACTTCTGGGAATGGGCTAAAACAATAGTGCACAAGAGAATAACATTAAAAGATTGATTTTAAAAATCTGACACACATATATACATACAGAGCAAGGATTAGTATAATTTTAAACATAATTATTTGGATATATATTTAGTATAAATACAACGATGTATCTTTCTGATATCTCCATTTTAAATACAATTCCTTTAAAGTGCCCATCACAAGCTGTTAAGGAGCCCTTGTGGTGTGGTGGTTACACACTGGGCTGCATGTGATCATATGGTTGGCAGCTTGAAAATACTGGCAGAAGATACTCTTTGTGGGAGAAAGACTAGGCTTTGAATTCCCATAAACATACAGTCTCGGAAACCCACAAAGGGTCGTTACGGGTAAGCGTTGACTCGGTGGCAGTGAGTTTGGTTATCCTAAGTTATTAAATTTTTTTTCTATTCCTTTTCATGAAACATACTAAAATATCTTTTCCCCTATGATGTTGAAAGAAAAACAAATAGTTGAATGAAAAAACAGAAAAAATAAGTGTAACAAATATACCAAAATTAACATCTATTATCAAAGGCGTTGGGAACATTGGAAACACAGTGGTTACATCTCAGCAGTTCGAATCCACTAGCTCCTCCTCAGGAGATTGACAGAGCTTTCTACTCCTGTGAACAGTTAGTTTCAAAAACACACAGAAGCATTTCTACCCTGTCCTATAGGGTATGAGTCGGCACTGACTTGATGGCAGCAAGCGAGATAACACATCTGCAATCATTTGAGTAGACATAGCATGGGAAGTACCACACAGTACTATTCTGCAATAATTCTAAATGACTATATGTTGACCTCTTGTCTGCCACTTTGTTGTACTATGGTGACTTGTGTATTGCTGTGATGCTGGCAGCTATCACTGGTATTTCAAATGCCAGCAGGGTCACTGATGGTGAACAGGTTTCAGTAGTACTTCCAGATTAAGGTAGACTTTAGCAATCTACTTCTAAAAATACTGGTCAATGAAAATCTTCTAAATAGTAGTGGACCACTGTCTGATATAATGCCAGAGGATGGGCCCCTTAGGTTGGAAGACACTCAAAATACAACCAGAGACAGCTGTCTACTCAAAGTTGAGTTGATCTTAAAGAAATGGTCAGAGAAGCTGTCAGGACTAACTTTTGCGGATGTAAACCAATCCCCAAACTCATTGCCCATCAAGTTAATTCTAATCGTACACATTTCCAATAATGACTGGGACACACGGAGCACAAAGTATGAATCTATGAAAACGCTGAGTCACTTAAAAAATGGAATGCATTAAGAATGGTATAGTAGACACTTGTGAGTTGAAACAGAATGGCATAGGAAGAGATCCCTATTTGTGCCCATGCTTAAGAAAGGTGATAAAAACTGTTGTAGCAGCACATTGACAGGTTATCAAATCAGATTCAAGTGAAGATGTTGAATGAGAGATATCACTGCTGTCAGTTGGATCTTGGATGAAATCAGAGATGATCAAAAAGACATTTACCCATGCTTCATTATGTAAAAGCATTTTAGAACACGTAACTGTGCTCCTGCAGAACTTGTGCATAGTCCAAGAGGCAAATGTTTGGAAAGTCCAAGAGGATCCTGTTGCTGCTAGGTGCTGTCGAGTCATTTCTGATGCGTAGTGACTGTATGTACAACAGAACAAAACACTGCCCAGTCTGTACTAGCCTCACCAATTTTCTTAGTTTGAGCCCATTGCTGCAGTCACTTTGTCAATTCATCTCATCGAGGGCTTTCCTCCTCTTTGCTACCTCTCCACTTTACCAAGCAAGATGCCCTTTTCAGAGATTGATGTCTTCTGACAACATAGCGAAAGTACTTGACATGAAGTCTTGCCATCATTGCATCCAAGGAGCATTCCAGCTATACTTCTTCCAAGACAGATTTGTCTGTTCTTTTGGCAATCTATGCTACTAACAAGGGGACACTACTTGGTTTAAAATCCGGAAAGGTGCACATCAGGGTTGTATCCTTTCACTATATGTATTCAATCTGCATGCTGAGCAAATAATTTAAGACACTGGTCTAAAAGAAAAAGAATGTAGCATCATGAATGGAAGAAGGCTCATTAACAACCTTCAATATGCAAAAATCACCAACCTTGCTTGCTGAAAGCAAGAAGACTTAAAGCACTTACAGAGGAGCATCAAAGACTCCAGGATTCCTCTATGGATTGCAACTCAATGTAAAGAAAACGAGTATCCTCACAACTGGACAAATAGACACATCACGATAGAGAAAAGATCGAAAATGTCAAGAATTTTACTTGAATCCACAGTCAATGCTCATGGAAGTAGCAGTCAAGAAATCAAACAACATACTACACTGGGCAAATCTACAGCACAAGACCTCCTTAAAGAATTAAGGGGCAAAGATGCCACTTTGAGGACTAAGGTATGCTTGACCCAGCCATGACATTTTCAATTACCTTCTATGCATGAGAAAGCTGGAAAATGAATATGGAAAACTGACAAAGAATCAACACATTTGAACTATATGTTGATGAAGATAAATGGATATTCCACGAACATCCATAAGAACAAATAGATCTGTGTTGGAAGAAGTAAAACTGGGCTGCTCCTTACAAGGGAGGGTAGTGAGACTTCATGCCACATACTTTATGCATGGTATCAGAAGGGACCAATTCATGTGGAACATGCTTGGTAAAGTGAAAAAGATGAAATTCTCAACAAGATTAATTAACGATATAGTGGCTACAACAATCAGGTCAAAACACAGCCAACAGTTGGAAGGATGATGCAAAACCAAGCAAGTGTTTGGTAGTATTGTGCATGGAGTGCCAATGAATAATATAATCCTTATCAGTCCTACCAAGGTAGGTACTATTAATACCTACCTTCAATATAGCACCGTTGAAACATACAACTTTCCTTTAATGCTTCCTCCCCCCTACAGTGATCCAATTCTACCTTACAAATTCGGCTAGAGAAGAGCATATACATGGGAACAGATAAGAGCTGGAAACACAGGGAATCCAGACAGATAAACCCCTCAGGACCAATATTGAGAT